GCATCATCATGACCAGGTCTGGTTTGCATGCTTTCAAGGAAATGAACACGTTTCAACGCAGCCCATAGAGCTGCATCATCGTGCTTATCAAATGGATCAAGATTGGTTCTAACAGTACCTGAAAACAGCACAGGATCTTGTGGGATAATCGTTAGTCTTGATCGCAAGTCCCATAATCCCATCTTTCCAATATCCATCCCATCAATCAGAACGCGACCCGAGTCATGAGGAACAATGCGAAACATGGCTAAAGAAAGTGTAGACTTTCCTGCACCAGTACGTCCGACAATGCCTATTTTTTCAAACGTGCCAACATGGAAAGATATCTTATCCAGAACTAGGGGTTGATCAGCAGAATAGCGAATGGATAAATCCTTTACATCGATACAACCATGATGTGGCCAATTCTCTGCAGGACGGTAGTCATCAACAATTGCAGCAGCATCTTGCTCAATCTGCAAGTATTCATCTATTCTCTCGACAGAATTCATGCTCATTTCCATCATAGCGTGGGACCGAGTCACCCAATCCAAATCGAAAACAAGTTCGGTCGCATACGCAAGACACAAGCCAGCTATTCCAGCATCCAGTGTATCCCTTGCCAATACAAGCGATATTGTTGTTATTAAAACAATAGACCCAGAGACCAAATCACATCGAGCCGAAAGCCATCGATGCAAGCCCACATGTAAAAGTATGCTTGGTGGTTTTTATCTACGAGATTCATATTGTCGTTTATAAATTGCTCCTCGACTCCAAAGGCACGAATCGTAGCTGCGCCTTGAAGAGTTTCGGAAAATTTGGCATAGATGGGACTTTGGGATACAGACTCGAGACGACGAAGTTCACGCGAAGCAAGAAGGTATGATTTGGAGATGTTATAAAACATAATAACAATAGGAATAAACAACAGGAGCAATAATGGGGCTACCATGGTAACAATCATTAGCACGGTAAAAGCTCGAAGCGCACTCCTAAGAAATCCAGAAACGCCATTGCTCACTTCCATGTCAATACATTCAATATCTTTTGAGAATCGGTTCAAAATGCGACCAATAGGAGTAGTATCAAAGAATCTCATGGGTGCGTTTAGAACCCTATTCAACATGGATGAATGCAGTTTCTTTGAAGCATTGTAGGATCCAGCATATTGAATAGTCAACAAAAGTTGTTCAAAAAACACGACACCAAGTCCAAGACCGCCGTAAACCCAAATGTAAAAGCTTGGATCACGAACAGGAGTAGCTAAAGGTACGACTGGTGGGTGTGAAACGGACTGCATTAAAAAGACATCTGGCATGAACAAAGCTGTCGAGTTGATATCCGTATGCTTGTATGAATCAGCCCACACCTTGAGCCATAAGTCGTCCAAACCCTGACCTGCGCGTGCGCAAAAAAAAATAAGTAGATAGGCGACAAGAAACCACCAACCGCCAACCGCACCTATGTAATGTTTATAGATGGCGAGTTTCACTGATCCGGACTGTTTGGTTTCATCTTCAACAAGTTTGCCCTTGGTTTTGGCACCTTCATTTGACTCATTGGCTGCATTGTTTTCGACTTTTGAAGTTACATCGCTCTCAATCTTGTCACCTTTGATCGCGTGAAGTAAATGGTTTCCAAAAGGATCGCTACAATCCGTTGTTTCAAAATGTGCTTGAACGGCTGCGGGCAAGCCTTGAGCAGAAATACGACCATCTTTGAAATAGACAATATAATCGGAAAACGGCAAGACAAGACCAGTAGCATGTGTAACAAGAATTACTGTGCGACTTGCAAGCAGTCCGCGAATACACTTTTCAAATAGATGCAGCGCTGTAGGAGCATCGACGGCACTCAATGGGTCATCAAGAATCACTGATTGGGCGGTAGAGTAGCAAGCACGAGCAAGTGAGATTCGCTGTTTTTGACCCCCAGACATGTTGATTCCCTTTTCACCAATCTCGGTTTGATCACCAGCAGGAAATGTTTCAAGATCTCTAACTAATGCACATGCTTCAATCACCTTGGCATACCTATCAGCATCGTACAGTGACCCAAACAAAATATTGTCCCTCACAGTTGCATTTTGAAGCCAGGCAGTCTGGGATACATATGCAACGCCGACGTCACGAGAGTTGATATCTGGTGCAGATCTTGAATAAACTGAAGGAAAAATGGTACGACCTTGAAGAGTCTTCATCTCACCCAACAAAGCATTAATAATGCTGCTCTTTCCTGCACCGGTTAGACCTACGATGGCAGTCAGTTGACCAACAGGGAATTTGACGTGAATATCTGAAAGCACAAAGTGATGATGCTGAGTTGTACTTGAACGATTCGTGACAGATTCACGGGGTGTATCGGTTTGATCTACAGCATCCAGATTGGGCTC